ATTCTGGTGCTCCCTTTGGTGGATAAATTTGTGCACATCAAGGTTATGTTTTTAAATTTGATATGTGAGTCAGATAATAGTACCTGTTATACCTCTACAAAGTGGATTCGGTTTATTATATGCCAGTGATAGCTGTGCAGTGCACATTTTGGGCAGTTGGCCATATAATTGGACGTTTATCTCATTCTAATTGAAAGTTATATTTAAGGGCTATAATCATGGGTATTTCTGATCTATGTTCATCCATTTCTTATCTTTTTTTTTCCATTACATTTTGGGAGGGGGTGGGGGGGAGTTTCTCATGACTTGCTGGTGCTATAGTGAACAATTCCGGCACCATTTCACTGTTTGTCTTTCGTGGGAGTTCTACAAGTTTGCCAGTGCTATATGAACAGTTCTGGCAGCATTTCATTGCTTGGATTCGGTTTGTACATATCGCTACAAGTTTTTCGCCTTATTAAGCTAATGTTAGGAACCTACTTTGCATGATTTCGTTCTCCAAGAACTTGTTCCTTATCACTTTGTTTGGCATAGTATTAGTGAGGAAGAAGAAGAGAAAGGAAGGAAAGGAAAAAGAATGGAAGGGAAAGGAGAGGATAGAGATTTAAGTTTCTAACGTTTGGTTTAATGAAAAAAGTGAAGGGAAGAAAGGATTTTGATTAACAGTTTTTAATTCTCTTTCCTCTCAAATTTCTTCAATTTCCTTTCTGTTCTTTTCTACTTAATTCCCCTCTACTAAAAAGGGTCTATATTCTCTTTTGGTGGCCATTGCAATTCTGGATCATTTCAAAATTACTAGTACATGCTAGCAGAATAATTTGAAGGAGCAAGCATGATAAACAAGGGATGGAGTTATCCATATTTTCCTTCCAGTTTTTACTTGTGTGACGACTCTTTCCTTGCAGAACTCTTTGTCACAGGCTGATGCAGGATTGGAGATGTTTTGACATTGATAAATTAGTGAAGTAGGGCTCACTGACAACAATTTTTATCTTACCATTCTATTATTTTTCATTTTTTTTTTTCAATTACTTTCAAGTGGATCACTGGACTGAAAAGTTTCTTTCAATATCGCTGGGCTCACCAAATTCTAAAGGATCACTTGATTTAGGTGTCTATATGACATTTGATAACGATAACACGACATGAATACCTGGACTAGATATTCCTTGGTCAGAATGGTCACTATAGGTTTATTGTGGGTTCATAGTTTTTTTTTTTTTTTTTTTTTTTTTTTTTTTTTTTTTTTTTTTTTTTTCTTGTTTCAGTCTTCTGAAAGTTATGTGTATCTCCTCTTCGTTTGTAGCAATCATCATCAAAATTCAAGACTCATCTTCTACTTGTCTACTACTTCTCTGTATGGACCCAAAGATACAGGTTTAAGTTTTTTTGTATAGCAAAAGGGCAGAATAGATTCTCTTTCGTAGCAACTCTCCTCTATTTTCTAGAAAAAACAAAGTTAATATTATAAGAATAGGTTTATGCGGAGGAATTTTTTTTTTTTTTTGCTTTGCTCTTTGCATGTCATCATAGGTGAGCGTGAGGGATGCTGGGACTATTAAGTTGAGTCTTCAAGGAATTACTAGTGAAGTGGATTACTGAAGCTGTTTGATTTTGGTTGACAGTTGTGGAAAGATTTGAGGTCAAAGACTTGGTCTTTCTATTCTCGATGCAGTTGCCGTCTTTGAAGGTTTAGTTGTATAGATTATGAAGGTTTGGCCAGTTCTGGATACCATACTGTTGATACCTGCTTCAGTATTAAGTCATACACTTTTAAAGGTATTAAGCAATTTTGAAGTTAAGGATGTACTCTATTTTGTGTATAGAGGAGGATTATGCTATGTTTACATTAATATATATGTGGCTATAGACTGAGCAAAGTGCTTGATTTGTCGTTTGGGAGTATAACTATCTGGAGTTTAGTTTGTTTCTGAACGTTTCCTTGAGAAAGCAACTCCAGTTGGTTAACTCCCAAAGGCTGGGCATTTATGTTTAATGTATACTTCACATGAGTGCCTCTACATCTAACCATCCCTGGTTAGTGTAGGAGTATTCAAATTTGATGGCCAACCTGGATGATAGGCGTTGTTCAACGGCAGAGTCCTGGTTTTAGGTCTGCCTTTTGTCCAGACAGGTCTCAAAACATCCTTCCATACAGGGTTAGGCTCTAGTTGCAAATTCTTGACTTTGCAGTTAATTTGCAGCTGGAACCTGGCCTGAAGCTAAACAAATTTCTATTGAATTTTCTTCTTTTGTTTGACCTGGAGCTGACCCCAACTGGCTTAAACAGTCCAAGTCCAGAATCCAGATTACAGATGGCCATCAGTCGATAGGCCTTGCTGGGAGTCAATGGAAGATTGATTGGTTGCTCAAACCTGAAGTAGATTTGTCCCTGGTGCCGGTTGTATAATCTTTCTCTCTCGTACATTAAGTTGAAAACTGAAATTAGTTCTCAAGAAATTGTTGATGATTTTGAGGTAATGAAATTCTTCTTGTATGAGTTCAAGTTTGTGGAATTTTCGAACCGTAGCTGTTTTCTGCTTTCAGTAATTGTTGATATTACTTACTTTTCAGGATAGTTCATAAGCCTCCATTGTATGGATTCTGTTGAACTTGAAATGTAGAGGCAAATAGGCAATACTACTATGAAACAAAGGACCATCCCTTTTGATGGTGTGTCATAATAGATGATTACTTCAAGTTATTAGTTTTATAGGTATGTCAATGTCGTACTTAGATATAGCTTCTTGGTTCTACATATTTGATTTTTGTTACTGTTCTGCCTCCCGTTAGGCCGTTATAACAATGAAACTGCCATACACTTGATATTTGCTGTTGCATGTAGATATATTTTAATCACACATTTTACATTCAGACTCTGTTGCTGCTTGAAAGCGTGGAAAATGTACTTAATTTATTATTGTAATACCATAATTATATTCTAGAATGGATGATTAACATGAAAGTTTCTAACGCAAGATATTTCACTTCAGTTTTTACATAATGATGGTTAATTGGTTTATAGATTATCTTTCCACATCTCATTTTGCTTAGTGATGTTACCGCCATTTAAATACTATTGTGCAACCTCATAATTTTGTATATTAGGCTGGAGGCAGTCAAGCTGTTCGGTCTTTGAGAGGGCGTGGCACTTTTGGTCGTCATGGTAGAGGGAGAGGTGGTGGTCGTGGCAAGCATGGTCAGATTTCAAGGTCATCTGCAATAGCAGCCTCTAGTGGTGCTCAATCAGTGACAGAGGGACAAGCTGGTCCAACCAAGCCACCTCTTCGTATGGCATGGTGTGAAATTTGCAGAACTGATTGTACTACCCTTGAAGTGCTTGAGCAGCATAAGAATGGAAAGCGACATAAGCGAAATTTAAAGGTGCATGAGGAGTTGCAGAATCTAAGCAGACATATAACAATGCAGGATCCTAAATTACCTGTCTCTCAGCCTACACCTGAAATTATTCCGCCACAAAAAGATGTAGGATCCAACTGCATTCCTCCCTTAAATGTGAATGTAGCTATTATTCCTGCAGCTCCAGATAATAAAGTTGAAGCTACTGCAGAAAAGGATACAACTGATAAACCTGAAAGTTCAGGGGCACTACCATCACAGGAGTCAGTCAGGCATGGTCAATTTGGCGGTCGGGGTGGTTTAAAGAGAAGGGTGAGAGGGGGCCGCGGTGGTAAGTGGATGAGAGGCTTTGATGGGTCAAGAAGGGTAGTTGAGCCTCCAAAGCCTAAACAGGCAGTTCCTTTAATATGCAACTTGTGCAATGTGAAATGTGAGTCTCAGGTTGTTTTTGAAAGCCATGTAGCAGGTAAAAAACACCTTGCAAATGTGAAGCGTTTCCAGGGTCATAAAGAGGCACTTGGAGATGGTATTGAGGCGTTATACCCTACTATTGCTAATCTTCCATCGACTGTGATCATTCCCCAAGCCAATCAACAGGGTCCTGACAACGCTCAAGCCCTTGCAACGATGATGCTGAGCCAACAAAATTTGACAGATCCTCAAGCTGCTCATGCAGCTTTGACACAGCTTCTCCATCAACATGGTATTCACGATGCTCAGACTCTTATCACTCAGTTGGTTCCACATTTGCTTGCTCAATCCCCACAAGTACCTGGGGTATTACCTGTCCCAGCAGCTGGATTTGGGATAGATACCCAGCAGAATTTTTTTGAGTCAAGGAGCACATGTTTCTGCTGGAGCTGAGAGCCATAATGTTGCTGTAGGAAATTTAGCTGAGCAGAAAAATGTGTCTAGTAATGTCGAATCCCAAGCCGTCAAACCTGCTGATGCCCCACCTGAAAATGAAGGTCAGAGCTGAGAACGTTCTCTCTGGGCGAAAAAGGAAGCTTTTGTTTCATGACATCATAAACTGTCCAGTTCAGATGGAAGTCGATTTTCACACAGTTGATGTTGTACATTTTGGCCTTTTGTATGTTGCTCCATCTAAGAGTGTGTGCTTCTTGGTGATGTGGGAAATATCTAGGGATAGCCTGATAATGTACACCCTTAGGCTGTTGTCGTTGCCAGCTTGCTGCATTACCCAAGAGTTCATGTTTTTGGGTGCACCAAATAATAGATGGATGCACTTTTAAGTTTCTACTGTTGAATCTAATAGGGGCTGGATGTTTTCCCATTGTGAAATTCCTTTGCAAAAAATTATGTTCGATAGTTTTTTTCTACAATAAAGAAATTAAGATCAGGTGCTTCCAGCTTATTTATGCTAGCTTTTCTTTTGCAAGTCTGATGCTTTGCTTGGTTTATGTAATAATGGTCGTCAAGTAGCCAAAAATAGAATAATTCCCTATCTAATTGAGGGAGGTTGTGACCAGCTGCATGCGATGAAACTTGAACTTGAACTACGTCTTGCATTTAACATCATAATTTATGTTATTGTTACGTACAATCACTTTACACCTTCTAAATCTTATTGTTACATATAATGTATGTGAGATGATTTTAAACACTTGAATGTAATATCTTAGTTACCACCTTAAAGATGAGTAATTAGGTTTATGTAGAATTGACTAAAATAATCTAAGTAGAAAGATATCGCGAGAGAGTAGCTGTCAATAATCAACTAAATCAAATTCTGTCAAGGCTATGATATCTCGGGAAAGTGTTTCATAAGTATATGTTTAAACCCTATTAAAAGAAACTAATATTCTGGTTAAATGAGGAAATGACATTTTGGACTCCACGAACATGAAAAAAAAAAAAAAAAAAAAGGAATTAGATCTATTAACATGCAAAAAAATAGGAATTAGAGAGCTATTAACATTACTATCATTTTTTAACCAAAATTAAACAACATAAAATTACAATATTACCCTAAAATTTGCACAATCTATGCTTGATTTCTTTGAGGTCCATACCCCTTATTGTCCCCTTCATTTCATTTCTTGTTCTCGTTCCCTAATTTTCATTTTCAATGGCAATTCAAATAATACCTCTCCAACCGTTAATACCCTACAAATTCCAACCTTCCCTCCAATTCCAAGTACCCAATTCCTCAACCTTGTTTAATCTTCAAAATAAAATCACCAATTTCTCAACTTCTTCTCTGCAAATATCATGTAAATCCCTTAATTTTAATGGTGCTACAATAAGAGGGTCAGTGCCCTTGAGCAATGAAATTCCCCCAAATGCCCTTCGTAGAAAACAAGACCCACTTTGGAGAGGAGGTTTCAGCTTAGGGGTAGATTTGGGATTGTCTAATACTGGCCTTGCCATTAGCAAAGGCTTCTCCTTTCGACCTTTATCTGTAAATCCCCAGCTTTTTCCTGCGAATTTCTGTTTTTAATTTCTGGGTTTTATTTAATTTTTGTATTTATTCATGGTTCTTTTTTTTTTTTTTTTTTTCAGGTGTTGAATTTAAGAGGGCAGAAGCTTGAGCTTCAACTTATTGATATTGCAGAAAAAGAGGTGATTTTTGTGGGGTTTTAAAGGGTTTTGTTATTAACTTCATAATTTTTCAGTTATTGTTTAAGTTTGATTATATAAAATTGTAGGAAGTAGATGAATTTATAATTGGATTGCCAAAGTCAAGTGATGGCAATGAGACCCCTCAATCCAACAAAGTTCGTAGTGTTGCTGGAAGGTTAGCTGTCAGGGCTGCTGAGAGGTATTATTTTCATTTATTCATATTCTTATTTTAGTGTACTAAGGAGCCACAAAGGAAAATGATGTGAATAAGATTCGATAAGTTCTTGTCGTCTTAAGACGTTAATCAAGTAAGATAATTGACATCCACAATGTATCAAATTTTAAACCAGCTTATTTAATGATGGTTTTTGACACCAATTTGTTAAAAATATTTTTGGATGTTACATTTGCTATTATGTTGAAATGGGTTTTGTTACAATTCAAATATAGTGTGGTCATATTTAGAGCTGTCAATTCGGGCAACGGGTCGGGTTTGGGTCGGCTAAGAGTGGGTCGGGTCAATTCGGATTAATTCCATAACCTATGCGGGTTGGGTTTGAGTTGGGTAATGCCTGAGTTGGGTCACATCGGGTCATACTTCTTATCGGGTTTGGGTCGGGTTTAGGTCAGGCTAATAACAGGTCAAGTTACATTCGGGTCGGGTGATATATAGGTGGGTTTAATTCGGGTTTTCACGGGTTAAAACGGACTAGGGTAATTCTCGGGTTCGAGTCGGGTTCGGTTCAAGTCAATAATTTACGGGTTAGAATCAGGTCGGGTCATTCTCGGGTTTGAGTCAGGTTCGGTTCAAGTCAATAATTTGCGGGTTATAATTAGGTTGGGTCATTTTCAAGTAGGGTCATTCTCAAGTTCAAGTCAATAATTTGCGGGTTATAATCAGGTTGGGTCATTTCCAAGTCGGGTCATTCTCGGATTTAGGTCAGGTTATGTTCAAATCATTTCCAAGTCAGATCATATTCAAGTTCAACTAACTATAAATAGATAATTATCATTTTTATCAAGCTAATTATTTCCTTTGACTATAATATATATGACAATATACTAAGGAATTATAGTCTATAATTTAGAAAGATAATTATCTTCTTTGACTATACAACAAATATATACTATATTTAGGGGTGTTCAAATCCGGGTACCCGAATTCCCGGATCTTCGGGTATTTAGGAACTCGGCCCATGACCTGACTCGAGAAACTCGGGTACCCGGATTTTCCGGGTCGGGTCACAGGGTACCCAAAATTTATAATTCTGCCTGCTAATTTTTTTTTTTAATGGAAATAGGAAATTAACCAAATACAACAAAGCCTGAAATACATCTTGCCCATACTAAGTTGAGTAGTACAAAGTTTGCACATTTGAATTACAAATAATAAATAAATATAAATTAAATCTTAAAATGTGAAACAAACCCACCATAACCACCAAAATTATGTTTTTTGCAATGGCTTCCACTGCCACAACAAGTCAACAAAGCCCAAACAAAAAAAAAATCAACAATATCCAAATAATATTACAAATACTACAACCTCAACAATGCTAATTTAATAAAAAAAACTCATTTCAATGAAAACCAAAGCATTTAAACAAATTCGTTCAAATAAAGCTGAGGTATATGACTTGATTTCAATGGTGGCTTTGTGTTGCGCCGCTACCGCTGTTGTCCATTGGAGAAGATAGTGGGTTAAGGAACTTATTTGTATAAAGAAATAGGAGAGTTTGGATGTCTAGATCTAGGAATGAAAAAAGAAAATTGAAGAAATAAGGAGGGTTGGGCGGTTGCTTGGAGAAGGAGAAGGTAAACATGTGTATTTTATAAAACAAAACCCTACAAAAGGCTAAAAGTGACTATATATGTCACGCACTGGCACACCTTAGTTGGTACAACCCAAAAATAAAAAATATGAAATATAGGTTCTCGGGTCAGCGGGTACCCGTCAAATGAATAAGACGGCCCATGTCCCGGCCCAATTTCTGGCAAATTTATCGGGTCGGGTACCCGGCCCGTTAATTTTGAAAAAAATAGAAAAATACCCGGTTAAAATGAGCCGGGTCAGCGGGTCATCGGGTCGGGTCACTCGGGTCGGGTATTTTTGAACACCCCTAACTAAATTTAACTCTTAAATTTGAGGATGATGCTCCTTTCTTTTGCTAGCCTGAACCGACTTGGTTTCCCTAGATAAAATGCTTTAATCAACAATAATAAGGTGATCCAAATTGCAATTAAGGTCATTTGAAATCGGGTTAGGAACAATTTTAGTTGAATTTAGGTCGGGTCAATAACAAGTCGTGTTAATTTTGAGTCGAGTTAGTAACAGATCAGGTTGAATTTTTTGGTTAGGTGTAAAATTCGGGTCGAGTCAATAATATGTCGGGTTGAATTTAGGTGAGATCAATAACAAGTCAGGTTGATTTCGGGTCGGGTTTGTAACAGGTTGGGTTAAATTCGGGTCAGTATGGAACGGGTCGGGCTGAATTCAGTCAGGTTAGTAACAAGTCGAGTTAAATTCGGGTTTTGACGGGTTAAAATGGGTTAGGGTCAATTTCAGTTCAAGTCAGGTTCAGTGCAAATTATTTAAATTGGCCGTTGTAAACCGCTAAATCGGTGCAAGTTGTAAACCGATAAATTGGCCGTTTAACAGCAAATTGGATGGTTTCACACAATCCACACACCCAACTGGACTCCCGTAGGATATTAAGGACCATGGTAAACATTTCGGCAATTTTTATTTTCGGGCAAAAAAAAAACAAAAAAATTCCAAAATTGAAGGCTAATATCCACGCTTTTTAAGAAATTTTGGAGGTTTCGAGCCCGATGTCGAAAAGTCTTGAAATTCTTGGTAAAACATCTCGGGGTCATATAATGTCGTTTGGAAACATATATGATCATTATTTGTTATCATAAATGTTCGTGGTAGGCTTGAATTAATGAAATCGGTGTAAGTTGTAAACCGGTAAATTGGTCGTTTAAAGGCGAATTAGATGGTTCCACCCATCCAATTGGACTCCCCGAGGGTATTAGGGACCATGGTAAACATTTCGGCAATTTTTATATCCAGGCAAAAAAAAGTCAAAAAATTCCAAAATTTAAGGTGTCGAAAAGCATTGAAATTTTAGGGGATACATCTCGGGGTCATTTAATGTCGTTTGGAACCATATATGATTATTATATGTTGTCATAAATGTTCGTGGTAGGCTTAAGTTAATGAAATCGGTGCAAGTTGTAAACCGGTAAATTGGTTTATTAAAGGCAAATTGGATAGTTCCACCCAGCCAATTGGACTCCCGGAGGATATTAGGGATCAAGGTAAACATTTCGGCAATTTTTATTTCTGAACGGAAAAAAGTAAAAAAATTCCAAAATAAAAGACATATCCACGCTTTTTAAGAAGTTTTGGAGGTTTTAGGGCCTGGTGTCGAAAAGTCTTGAATTTCTAGGTGATACATCTCGGTGTCATACAATGCCATTTGGAACCATATATGATCATTATTTGTTGTCATAAATCGGTGCAAGTAGTAAACCGGTAAATTGGTCGTTTAAAGGAAAATTGAGGGGTTCCACCACCTAATAGGACTCGCAGACGGTATTAGGGATCATGGTAAACATTTCGCCAATTTTTATTTTCTAGAGAAAAAAGTCAATAATTAAACAATGGAAGGCTAATATCCAAGCTTTTTGAGAAATTTTTGAGGATTGGGGCCGGTGTTAAAAAGTTTGGAAATTCTAGGGGATACATCTCGGGGTTATATAATGCCGTTTGGAGCGATTTATGATCATTATATGTTGTCATAAATGTTTGTGGTAGGCTTGATTTAATGAAATTGGTGCTATTTGTAAAACGGTAAATTGCTCGTTCAAAGGCAAATTGGATGGTTCAACCATACCAATTAGACTTTCGGAGCGTATAAGGGAACCATAGTAAAAATTTCGACAATTTTTATTTTCGGGCAAAAAAGAGTCAAAAAAATCCAAAATTGAAGGCTCATTTCCCCGCTTTTTGAGAAATTTTGGAGGTTTCGGGACACAGTGTCGAAAAGCCTTGAGATTTTAGAGAATACATCTCGGGGTCATATAATGATGTTTGGAACCATATATGATCATTATATATTGTCATAAATGTTCGTGGTAAGATTGAGTTGATGAAATCGGTGCAAGTTGTAAATTGGTAAATTGGCCGTTTAAAGTCAAATTGGATGGTTCCATCCACCCAATTGGACTATTAGAGGGTATTAAGGACCACGGTAAGTATTTCGGCAATTTTTATTTTCGGGCGAAAAAAAGTAAAAAAAATTCATATATTGAAGACTTATATTCACGCTTTTTGAGAAATTTTTTATGTTTCGGGTCACGGTGTCGAAAACCTTGAGATTTTAGTAAATACATCTCAGGGGTCATATAATGACGTTTGGTACCATAGATGATCATTATATTTTGTCATAAATGTTCGTGGTAGGCTTGAATTAATGAAATCGGTGCAATTTGTAAATCGGTAAATTGGCCATTTAAAGGCAAATTGGATGGTTTTACCCATCGAATTGGAATCCCGAAGGATATTAGTGACCATGGTAAACATTTCGGCAATTTTTTTTTTCGGACGAAAAACAGTCTAAAAATTCTAAAATTGAAACCATCCACGCTTTTTGTGAAAATTTAGAGATTTTGAAACACGGTGCTGAAAAATCTTGAAAAGTTAAGGGATACATCTCGGGGTCATGTAATGCCGTTTGGAATCATATATAATCATTATATGTTGTCATAAATGTTTGTGGTATGCTTGATTAAATGAAATTGATGCAAGTTGTATACCGACAAATTGGCCTTTTAAAGGCAAATTGGATGGTTCTATTAACCCAATTGGACTCCTAGAGTGTACTAGAGACCATAGTAAACAACTTCGCCAATTTTTATTTTCGGGAAAAAACAAAAGTAAAAAAACTCCAAAATTAAAAGCTAATATTTACATTTTTTGAGAAATTTTGGAGGTTTAGGACCTAGTTTATAAAAGTTTTGAAATTCAAGTTGATATATAACGGAGTCATATAATGCCGTTTGGAAACATTTATGATCATTATATGTTGTCATAAATGTTCGTGGTAGACTTGATTTAATGAAATCGGTGCAAGTTATAAACCGCTAATTGGCCGATTAAAAGAAAATTAAATAGTTCAATCTACTCAATTG